TTTTGCAAGTCAAACAAGTCAGACTTCAGCCTCCAGGCGATGAACATGTCACTGCAGTCAGCAGAGCGCCCCAAGTTACGGGCATCAGTGTTAAGGGGGTTCAAGGTGAGTCAAGACGGAAGCTGCTTCTATAGGTGCAACGGACACCACAAGCAATTGAAGTGACAAAGTGAGAAGGAGGACAAACTTCAACTACCTCGGCTTCGTAAAGCACCCCAAGCTCCAAACCTTAATCCCAGCTTCGCAGGTTAAAGGATTTCTCACCAACTTTGAAGCTGGTTCCGCATAGTGCCGCTTGATAACCTCAAAGCCGACCCGGGGCTGCTCCTTGACTGGCGACCACCGGTGTGTCTGACTTGGTGGCTGAAGGTTCGCGTGCCACATGTGACACTTGTGTTTGAACGGATGGCAGACCGGATGGCAGGGCCGATTGCGGCCCAACGGCGAGGTTAATTGCAAGGCCGGTCGAACGTTGGATGCGTTGCACTCGTGCTTGGCGTTTCTTTGTTGAGGCTACAAAGCAGATCCTGGAGGGTCCAATTGGCCTTGACCAAGTTTACAAACTAGTCCAGCCTCGTAGCAGTCTCACTCACTCACTCACTCATTCACTCAGAATGGCGCAATTCGACTTTGAGAGGCCACCTCCCTCGGGGCAATGTTGACTGATGAACAAGCCCCTCCAATGGAGATGTAAAACAATTCTGCTGGGTATCTATGTGGTTGTGTCAAGGCAGGTGCATCACCTGCGTCTGTGCACCTGTATGACATTGACGATGACGATGACGATGATTATGATGATGATGATGATGATGATGATGATGATGATCATGATCATGATCATGATGATGGTGATGATGATGATGATGATGGTGATGATGATGATAATGGTTGGACAGTTGAAGATGGTGGCCGTTGTTTTAGGAAAACTTTTCGCAGGTGTCTTTGGGGAGAGGCACTCTGGGGATCAACTGAAGCAAAACCATTTTCAGTCTTACATCGTAAAACAATTGAATAGATATTGCAAAACAACCCAAGGTTTCATCGTCATCACACATCCAGCTTGTTCTTGACATTTCCCGTTCAGTAATTTTGTTTTTGCGATTGCCCCATGAGAAGCTTGTCGGTGTGCCGAAACATGGTACGGAAAAAGAACAATTTTGTTTTGGGAACAAAAGGGGCAAGGAAGGGCCCACGATGACCCCCATGGGTGAAATCAATGTCGCTTCGCTACACCAAGGGAACATCGGCACATGAAGTGCGGTGCAACACGTGAGGGGCTTCCAATTGACCGGACCCCGCCAGTGGTTTGGTCGTAGGTGAAATGCAATCGGGAGTGTGTGAGTGTGTGCTTTCATTTTCAGAGTATGATAAGTGTGTTGGGAGACCCTCCAAGTATGCCTTGGAAAGAAGACTTTTGCTTGACTCCTCTGGTACAGTTCCATTCACAGGGTCAACTCACCCGCTAGACCCGCCTTCATGCCGGTGAAAGCGATGCTCTTTGGCGACGGAACGGGCCCGGTGTGAACCATCGGGCCGTGAAAACACATCGTTGGTTGAACGCAGGCCGTCGCAGGTTGGTTTAACATGGCTCGTTTTCATGTTGTTTCGTGCATGAGTGGTTCGACAGATTAAGCGCTCAAGCCTTTTACATGCTCTTCACTGAAACATGCCATGCCAGAACTATGTGAAGACAGGCTTGCGGGGCAAGTCCAAAGTGAGAATATCCAGGGAAGGTTTCACGAACATCGTTGGTGGGTGCATCACATTGCATCACGCATTTCAATGCCGTTTTCAATGCCGTTTGGGTATCCCGGTTTGATGCAACAAAAATCCCACGTCCATCGATCAGTGACTCCCACAACGGACCGAGCCGAGAAGCCGAGCATGGCGTTACTCGGCCTGGACCGTGGGTGTTGTTCGGGTTTCGTTCAACGAATGGGACTTTGGGCCCTTCATACTAGGTCGCACATCACGAGATGCGTTACTCAGCTGGAAGGCCGCACTGCATGCTGTTCCAGGATGGTTGTGGGCAAGCGCAGTTCCACCTTCGGCCTTCACGGTTCACTGCTTTGCTGGTCAGAAGTTGGGCCTCCTTCGTTTCACTCGCACCCACTGATGTGGTGGATTCATGCCAACTAGCCCTCGTTACTACTACTCATGAACAGTTAATCCCTGTTTGTTTGCCAACCTAGGATCCAAGGCTGCACATGAGTTTGTCATAAAGTCACCCAAAAGCAGCTGAAGGAAAGGGACACTCTTTCGGTGGTGTAGTTGGATGCTTTCCAAAGCCATTAACGACTTCGGCGACGAAGATCTTGAGGAATGCCGGACTTCGAGTGGCGAGTTTACCTGCACCTGTGCGCTCTCTAAGTAAATCTATTGCGAGGAATCTCTGACAGGACAGCAACTTCTACGTCTGGGTGCTACCCTTGGTGCTCCTGGAGGTCGCAATCTACGCTGGGGGTCCCCAGAAAAGGAAGGAGGACGGACGACGGAGGAAAACGCGCACGGGGGTGCCGTGGGATCGAGATGGGAATCGAGAATGGGAAGGAAAGGGATGCACAGAATCTAGAGTCCAGAGACTCCCGGTGCTGTTGAAACACTTCAGCTTCTGGCCTTGCAACAATGAAGATTTCTCGGAACAAGTTGGATTTGTTGGTGTTAAGTCCCGGATTTGGTGCACCCCTGATTCCTTTTAAGGGTGGATTTGGTCCGGGTGGTTGGTTTGGGTGGTCCAGGATGGTTGCTTCTTTGCTGGAAGTTGAAGGAACAGTTACGGGTTACCAATGGCAGGAGCGCGGCCAGGCTAAGAAGCTTCTCAGTCAAGCAATTGCGCCCGAAGGTTTTGCGGGTCACACATTCAAGACACAGCAGACATTTTGTTGTCGATGGCTTTCGTCATTTTCAGGGCTTCGCTCTCCTGTTGGGCTCCCCCTTGTATTAGGGTGCCTATGAATTAGCTGAGTGCATTGCAGGAGCAGGACGGGGCTAACCTTCCAGTTTTCCAGACGACTCTATGCCACATGGGTTGTGGTCTGTTTCCTTCTTCCAGGGGGTCAATCAACCGTCCAGCTTTTTGACAGAAAAACCCTTCCCCTTCCCTTCGGGTCACTGGGCACGTCATCGACCTCAGAGTCTCCCCTTCGCGGCGTCGTGTGGGTTCTCGCCGTCGCCGAGTCCAAGTGTCCACGGTGAGGCCTATGCCTTCACTGCCCCGTGGAGGAGCTGCCAGGCCACGGATCCCACATCCTTGGTGGGTTTGGGGATCTGGTGGCCACGGCGGTGGGAGGTGCCACCTTCACTGGCATCCGAAGTGCAGAAGGGAAGACAGGGAGGACGAACTAAGGTACAGCCTGCTCCTGTACAATGTGAGCCCTTTGAGGACTCCAATGGTTCGAGTCTGGGAAATGCTGATGAAAATCAACAACGAGGTCCTCGAATAATGATGTTTGGCCTGTTTGCGCCAGACATTGGATTCGATGTTTGGTGTTGAGCTTTCCGAGTTTCTGAGCAACGTGTTGCTTACACACATGCAAAAGGTACACAAAGATGAAGTCCGTGCTTGTATTCATTTATGCATGCCTACCAAGAACTCATTTCCTTTTTTGGGGCACACCCGCTCTTCCCCGGCGCTGGCGAATGCCAGGTGGCGCTCGGCTTGCTGGGCCTCTTCTGGTGCTTCGCTGCCCTTTGGGTCGAAGTGCGGCTGGAGCAGGTCTACCCGGGCTTCGACTACGCCGCTCCTCAGGATCCCGAGATGAAGGCGTACAAGTCGGGGAAACCCAGCATTTGGAACGAATGTAAGACAGAAGACAGAAGACAGAAAGCTCGCAAGGACCGAGTCCTGAGAGAGGACTGGTTTCCAGAGAACAGAATTGAAGTGTTGTGCCTCCCAGGCCTGAATGTTTGATCCATGTTTGGGGTGGTTTGATGAATCAAGATTCTACATCTCAGATATCTCTGAGTATCTCCGCTTCGACTCTCAACAAGTCAAATGAAAGCTGCTGGGTTTGTGAAACCGATGTCACCTCGGACCTTGGATCTTGGCAGACTCTAGAAGATCGGGTTTATCACCGTTTCTTCCTGCTAGCCGACGGTCGTCCACCAATTCACCGCCGGTTTGTTCGCGTCTCCGGCCTCTGAGACAGTCTCGCATGGTGCCACCCTGCAGCCATAGGTTTTTCCTTGTTCAAACATACACCCTGGGAGTCAAAGGTTGTTGGAATTAAATTAATGGTTGTTGGAAGCCTAGGGTACAGTTACATAACCTACAGAAAATCGGTCTTTTTCCACCCAAAGTCGTTGTACCGAACTACTTTAGGTCATTGGTTTCTGGCACCGTTGCATGAGACTCATGTCCTCGGCATGGTGCTGTACTTCCGTTTCGGACTGTCAGACAAAGCTGGTGTCAGTCATCTGGGTAATGGCCATTTGGAAAAGAGTGTGAACATTTGCGGGCCCAGATACGAACTGACTTGATACCACCTCTATAGCTTCTTGTCTTAGGTACTGTTCTTCATGATTTCTGTCGTTTTCTGACTCCATTAGACACTCCCTCGACATTCTTCTGCGCCTCTGGGGACGACGACACGGACTCAGCCGATGCGTTTTGGCCGGCATTTGGTCGTGTTTTAGATGCCTTCGAGCGGAAGCAGCGTCGGCAGCTAGCTGGGAGTTGCAGACCCAGATGCTGTTGCAGGAAGCACGTCGACATCTTCACCATGGAGAGTTGGAGAAGGCCTACACCATGGCCGAGAAGATTGTAGAACGGAGCCAAGCTGGTCCGAAGCAAGAAGAGCAAGAAGAGGCTGAAGCTTTGCTTCTGTGTGGTCAAGCCTTGCAACGGCTGGGTGATGAAAGAAGAGCTTTGGAGATGAAGCGCGCGTCCCTGGCCTTACTTCGCGAGCACAAAGGCGCCGTTTCAGACCAAAGACGGATGGCTGAAGTCCTTGCAGCTGTGGCAGCATCGTTGGTTGACCTCGGCGACAAAAATGCGTGAAAGCAAGAGTGAAGTCATGTTAAGTCAAGTCATGAAGCACATAGTGACTGAGTACCGGCTGCTTCAAGCTGTATGGTTTCAAGGGTTGAACTGGCTTTGGTTCACAAAGCCGTTGACCCGTTCAGGCCGGTGTTTGATGAAAGTGGGGAACCTCAGAGGAAGCTGCAAGGATGAAGTGGGAGCCATAGTAGCCTTTCAGAAGACGCTGGAAACAGGCGAACGTCTGTACGACAAAGGTGAACGTGATCTTTTGGTGGCAACTTGCTATTCTTACTTTGGACACTATCTCTGTGGCCTGAAGCATCGAGGACGTGGGTGGAGAGAGGAATTCCATGACTTCGGAAAAGGGCTCCAGATGCTACGCCAGTCATACGCCCTAAGCCAGGACCTAGGCAATGCCCATTTGCAGCTACATGGACTCCGTAATCTGGCTCGAGCGGAGTCCAATGCTGGGAACACCGCGGAAGCCAGAGACTACTTTGAGAAGGCTGCTCTCTTGTTCGAGGAGACATGGTGCCACTCCAAGAGAGACCGGTTTCGCTTGTTGCACCGCGACTCGTACCTGCACATGGAGATCAGCCATGGCTGGCAGCGAGTTCTGCTTGATGTTCAGGAGCCAGGGCAAGCACTTCTTGCTGCAGACAGGACTAGAGCGAGAGCGTTGGCACTTCTGTTGCAAGAGAAAGGACAGAGTATTAGCACGTTTTGTGGAGACTGGAATCTTTCATGGCAGCACATTGAAAGCCTTGTGAAGGAGATTGGCTCAGCAATTCTATTCTATTCCTTGCTGGAAGGCAGGTGTTTCATTTGGGTCATTAGCAGTCAGGGTGTCTTGCGGTGGCGTGTGGTAGACACGGTGGATGCCTTGGAGGGGCAGCCTGGAGGTTTTTCGGAGTTCCTGCTGCGAAGTCGCAGTGCCATGGGTATCGGATTTAGGGGCGACCCACCCAAGTCAGAGGATTCAGACGGTCAAGAGGCTTGGGAGGATCACGGTGAGAATCGCATGAAGCCAGAGACCTTGCGAACCTTAGAACGACGTAGGAAGCACATGGCAGAGACAGATGCAAAGCTGCGAAGATGTTATGACCTGCTCTACAAGCCTGTTGCTGAATGGTTGAAAGGAGAGCAGCATGTGTACATTTGTCCAGACAGAGATCTATGGATGGTACCTTTCTCTGCAATGTTAGACGAAAGCAGGCGCTACCTTATCGAGGTCCACACTTTAGTTTTGATGCCGTCGATCCACATCACACGCAGTTTGTGTGCTGCGCAAACCGCTCTGCGTGTTCAGGCAGACTCATCCTCAAGTGTTTTAATTGGTGTTTCTGAATTCAACATGCCGCCAGCAGTAGATGGAGAGATTTTGGCCCCTTTGCCTGCAGTCAAAGATGAAAACACCAAGATTGGACAGACCTGCCAACAAGCAGGTTGCAAGGTCGTCAAGGTCCTTGATGGCGAGGCCACTCTAACCAACATACAACAAGCTGTGTGTGGTACGCACAGGTTCTTGCATTTTGGCACACATGGTCTGCTCGACCAAAAGGCACTAGCACTGCATGGCGAACTGAACAAACCCGAATCTGGTCTCTTGCGAGCTGTGACACAGCGCGAGGAGACACCGGAGCAGATGGCGTGGTGGGTCTTAGCCGTGCCTTCATGGCTGCAGGGACCCCGTGCACTGTGGCTTCTTTGTGGAAAGTATCAGATCAATCCACTTTGACATTCATGCATCTCTTGTACAAAGAGTGGCTGTGTGCAAAACTCCCTCTGAAAGTGGCGGCGCAGAGGGCTATGTGCGAGATGTTGCGCCAAAGGCGTTGGCCTTTGCCTGGACCGGCGTATGCTCCTGCGCAATGGGCTCCGTTCATTCTGGTGGGCCGTGTGGGAACTGAGCCAGATGGTGTAAAACGGGAGCGTTGAATGTGTCCAGCAGCTTGCTGGTTGGCCGAGTACGGTTTATGGTGGTCTCTTTAGTTGAAACTCCTTCTTGAAGCCTCTTTGATGTCGAAGTATTGTTTGCTATTGGGTTTGAGGCCATCGCTAGTAGGTTGAAGGCCATCGCTGGTAGGTTTGGTAGTCTCTTTGATTGAAACTCCTTCTTAGAACCCGCCTCTTGAACGTCGAGCAAGAATCGATGTCTGGTCTTCCCCCTCACCTCGACTCGGTTTGTACAGCTCTCGTCCTCGACTCACCTCGACTCAGCGGCATCTTCCTGTCCGGCCTTGAGGCCCTTCTGTGACTTCGCACCCTGGGCGAAGTGCAGCAAGGTCTTGATGTCTCCGCCAGGACTCGGGTCGGACGGTGTTTGGTGGCTGCGGTACCCACGCCGCTCGGGTTGGGGGGGGGTAGGTGGTGAACCGCGGCACTTCCAACTCGTGAACACTTCAAGCTACACAACGCCCCTGACCGGTGCACCGTTCTGACAGACGACGCGCAGAAAAACCACATCTAAAACAAGCTCAAGATCCCAGGCCGAGAAATCAAGAATCCTAAACACGAAAACAAGAAATCAAAATCAAATTATCAAGATTGGAACAAGATCGTAACAAGAAATATAAACATCAAAATCAAGAAATCAAGCTTCGAACCAGATCGTAACAAGATCAAGAAATCAAAATCGACATGTCCACCTTCTGGCAAAGGGGGGTCAGGGTCCTGGGAAGACGTGACGGGTCCAGGACGTGTGTTGCCCTTGGCTTTCGCTCTCCCGGGGTCCTGGCGCTGTTCAGGACGTTTCCTGCGGTACTTCGGCATTGCCAAGGAAGGTCCGGCGGTATGGGTGCCAAGAAAGGGTCAGAAGAGAAGTGTGAATTGACCTGAGTGATGGGTTGAAGGAAAAGCTAACGGAACTGGAGGAACTGCGACCTGTTTGGGGCAAACTGAGGCCTTTGATGTAAGGGGTGAGTCAAGTCTTCAGAAAATGTGAAGATTTTAGACCCTGCGGATAGGGGAGGAAAAAAAGAGATTGGAGATGATTTGGTTCATGTACTTTTCATGAGTCCTGCACCGAACCATGTGTGGACTGCTGACTGCTCAGCTCAGCCTTCAGCTTTCGATGCGTGATTGGAACAGGGCCGTTCGAGCCCCAGGGTTTTGCCACACCTGTTTTAATCGAGACACTCACACACTTGAGGTGTAGAAAAGCGAGGGAGTGGTCAACAACATGGCCCTTCTTCATCAAAACATGACAAGTTCATCCTCGTGAATCCTCGTGTATGTACATACCCTATATATTATATAGCCTTCAAAGACCATTAACCGAAAGTTTGAGAGCCAGTCTTGAAATGTAAAGGCCTTAGTGAACCGATGGTTGTTTGGTAGACCATTCAAACAATGTTTGCTGGAATCTCAGGGTATATATTTACAGAGTCATCAGATGTAAAGGCTTACGCCAGCCGGGCGCCGGCCGGGGCAGGGAGGAGAGACGGAAGGGACGAAACGGGTGGGAGACCCCAGCAGCATCCGCCGGGAGGAGGAGGCCCACTGTCCTGTAGAGGTTGACCCTCCGACATGTCCAGCCCAGATGCTTCTCTCCGCAACCCGAAAACACCGTAAAACACATTGTTCTCGCACACGTTCAATCCAGACGCGTCTCTTCGCAACCCCGCAGACACGGTAAACACATGGTTTTCGCACAGGTTCAATCCAGACGCTTCTCTCTCCGCAACCCCGAAAACTATGTAAAGCACATGGTTTTCGGACATGTCCACCTCCGCAAGCCTGAAAACACCGTAAGACACATAGTTTTCGGACATGTCCAGTCCGTGCTCTTTCTCCTCCAGTTGATGAAAAAGAGACAGAGAGCCAGCACAAGAACAAAATGCTAATAATGCAACCCCACTCGGTCAGCACATCCCGCACCACGGGCATTCGAAAACGACCTTGCACCCATCACCATATCCATGTTGCCACATGTTGGCCCACGTTATGTCATCCTTGCCAGGGTGACTGGGGGGAGGTCGACCGGAGGTTGACCGGAGGAATCGGCCGGCGGAAGGGGGCGTAGCCCCTGTAACCTTCGGTTACCAACCGAAGGCCTCCGGCTAGGACACGGGCTGCGTGGCCGGCGCCCAGATTATACCTCCCAAGCTCCTTGCCATGTCACTAGCCACCAGACTGAGTACGACAGACTGGCTGCTGTATTTTGCTGAGGCAGATGGCAACATTGTGGAGAAGGTGCCAGGGTTCAATCATAGCACCTCTGAGTGCCAAGAGGGAGGTCACCCGCACATCCGCGGCTGTGAGCGTCAGATTTTTTAGTTCTGCTCTTTTTTCCGCAGCGCTGGGGGTGCAGAAACTTAGTGCCAAGCCAACTCCTTCGGACATTGTTTCGCCACTCTTTGCTGGTTTGCCGAAGCTTCCTGATTGTGTAAGTGGTGAGTAAGCCTGCTTGTAAGTCTCCTTAGTAGACCTACTTGCAGATGACAACCATTCGATCAGCCCTCTCTTCTTGGCATTCAAACTAACTATATAGTCATCATGACTTCATAAATAAGTTGCTCAGCTAGGTCTGAAACCAAGCAACCTCCAAAGGATCATGGTCTTTTTGTTCAAACTCCTTTCCCTCAGGACGTCCTGACTTGCCGCCGACGAACAAAACACTCCCCCACCCTCTCGGCTCTCCACCTCTCCAACTCACTCTCCGACCGACTCGCCCCGTCGCCCCCGTCGCCTCCTTGGCCGCTGACCACCGACTGCCAGGTGAGAGGTTGGATCGACGTGCCGAACCCCACGCTGGGAGTGATCTTCTTCGCGGTGCACCTGCTTCTGGGCCGCTTCCGGCGCACGCGGTTCGTGGGTTCGAGATTGGGGAGTTGGACGTGTTTTTGGAGCCGGACGCGGTTCTTTGTTCTTCTATTTCTTGGGGAAGAACACATAAACACACAAAGAGAGGAAGGTTAAAGGGTGGGAAATGCCAAACCGGAACAGGTTGGGAAGACTCTCACTTACGAAGTAGATAACTGAAGTCAGTTGTGCACGTAACTTTCCAAAAACTGAGAGAAGCATGTCTTTTTGTGTTCAGTTAGTGACAGTTAGCTGTTGGGCAAGTGAATGCTTCTTAGCATGTCTGAACTGAGAACGCCGAGCCTGCAGCATGTGAACGTAAAGAGTTCCAGCGTCCTGCTTGGTGGCCAAATCTGAAAACTGAATGATCTCAATTCAATAGAATCTCCTTCTACTGGTGATGAATTCAATTCTTCTACTGAATGATCTACTGAATGATGAAACTCCAGTAGAAGGGGCAAACCGAAGGACCCTCAAACTGCCGTAGCACAGCTTTGCAGCGGGCAAGTCAACAAGGCTACTTACAAGTGGTGCAAGAGTTGCTCCTAGCAGAAGTTGAAATTGATGCTAGCATTCTTTTTGGCTCCTGCCTGAAGCAGCTCTCTCACCACTTCCAAATGGCCGATTGCCAAGTGGAAAAGCATGCCAAAGGGGTTGAGTTGAATGCATTGAATGCACGAAACTCAAGATCATAAGCTGAGTTCACTCCGGCCATCCATGGGACTGGAGTAGTTACCTGCATTGACCCTTAAATACATCTCAAAACCACCCATCACTATCCATCTTTTCTTATACAAATATTCCAGTCTGATAAATTGACGCAAGAGTCTCTGGACTCTCATTTTTTCATTTCCAACATGCTTTGGGCAAGTGAACGTCAACAACGTGTTTCTTGACCTACAGTGGATTGAGAGTAGATGGCACAAGGTGGCTTCTATGGACCCCCATTCTAAAGGACATCTCGAGGTGCCAATGCCATGTCCTCTGAAACCACTGTACATGGAGAAGCCATGAGGGCTTCGACTTGATGCGATTTCCGCTCGGTCGCTTTTTCGGAGCTCCAGTCCGCTCGGTCGCTCCTCTGGAGCGTGCGTGACCTGGTGGTTCTCCGTTGGTGACCGTTCTCCGTCCGATCGCTCAGGTTCTATCCGGTCCTGCTAGGGGGCCACAGGGACTCATCGGAGGGGTTCTGGGGGGTGCAGAGGGACTCGGCAGCGACCAAGTGGATGACTGGTTGAAGGTTCTGCGCACAGCGCAAGAAGAGGTTGGCCAGGCTAGGTGGTAGACAGAGACATCCTGTTGTTCAGCACGTGCCCTCTTTCGTTTCGTGCCTCCTTCGAGTCCGCTCCTGAAGGTGTTTGCCACGAGCTTTTGGCAAAGTAAACACCTCAACCCTCCCGCAAAAGACGCGCTAGGGCCCTACGCCCGCGCCTGATTGTTGTGCTCAAGACTCCTTGGTCGACGCTTGGTCGAGATGCAGCGTCTCCACCATGGAGGATCCCAGCGAAGTGAAGCTGCCACCCATGGCCTTGCGCTGCACCGACGCCGGCACCCCACCGCCGCCCGCGGCGCGGCAGCCCGCGTTGGTGCCGGTTCGCGATGCGTGGCTGCCGGTGGCGCCGGTGGCACCTGCGCCAGAGGTGAAAGCAGAGGTGGGGAGGTGATGGAACAAGGATTCATGGGCCCACCCTGATGTTCAGAGCGAACTGGGTCACGAAACACCTGTGTTTGACTCAGGATTTCACCACAAAACCAGGTCAAGCATCTTAAACCATGGTCTTTGAAGGCGGCTGGGTATAGCCTGGAGACTCGTTTTGTGGTGTGGTGACGTCCTGATGCCAGGGATCGCTTTCACGAAGAGAGGGATTTTTGATTCAGTATCTTCAGTGACCTGATATATATTTATATATACCCTAGGCTTCCTGGCCCACCATTAACCCAATAGGCTGCCTACCAAATCAACTAAGGATTTTACACTACAAAAACCAGGTCAACCATTTTTTAAATGGTCTTGGAAGCCTAGGGTATATATATATACATAAACAAAGGACCGAGCTACCTGGGGTACTGAACTGGAAGAGTCTAATCAGGTTCTCTTCAGAATTTGTGGGGTCGCCTTGTGATTGGATCTGGATCCGAAGTGAGTTGGGAGCGAACTCCGCCAGTCACTCATCCAGGACCTTCCCAGTGACCTCTTCAGGATTGGTATACGTGACCTTTTCAAGGCCTAAGTGACCTCATTCTGGGATCTCAAAGGGTCACTGGGAAGGTCCTGGATGTCGGCAGATTCATCATGTTTGTCAGTCTGTCCAATCAGCTGTCGATCAGGGTCGTCGTGCATGCAAGCACGGCCAAGGCTGATTGTTGTGTCATTGGAGAATCATGATGGGGATGGCCGTTTGGCCGTTGTGGTGCCGGAAAAATGATATGAAAAACATCTCCATCCATCCAATTCCCACGTGTACAGGAGGATCTACAGAGCCTTTTTCTGTGCTGTAACCAAAGCCAAGACAGATTCATCCTCCTGTAGATGCCCCCAATCCCTGAAGGGAGGCTCGTCGTCATACTCATCTTAGTCCAAATCCTCAACCTCCTCCTCCTCCCCCTCCTCACCCTCACTTTACAACCAACAATCCCTTGGCTGACGCTGGGTACGTAGGCGATCCTGGAGCTCCTGCAGAGCATGGAGCCAATGGATGCGGAGCTGTTGCGTGCCACCCGCTGGCATGCCGTCTTGAACTGGGCTGGGTATGTCTTCCGTGCCGGGCGCCACAAGGAGCGGTGGAAGAGTTAGTTGTCCATGAAGACACCGGACACTGTGGTTTTCGTTGGGTATGGCCTCGTCCAAGTGGGTAGGTTGGTGTGCTGATGAGAAAGAAGTTGTGCTGATTGAGAACGGCTTTGTTCAATGACTTGGGCCTTTTGCACAAAGCACTCCCATGTTTTTGCCAAAGATTCGACTGAATAGCCCTGTCAGAACTTCTACCGCCACAGCTTCATCACAGAGAAGTTTGATCAATTCATTTCTCACAGCTGGCACGGGAAGTCCTGGCAGAAGATTTTGCTCTTGACACTGGGCCTGAGCGGGGTTCCCGAGATGGATGGTGGAGGGCAGCTGGGAGAATCTGACCAGGTCAGATCGTCCAGAGTGCTTGTAAGGCGAAGCTCGAAATTTCTTACACGTGGCAAGCATGGCCTGAATGTGCTTTCATGCAAAACGTCCATGTGTTTGGTGCACAATTTTAACTCTGGCTCAGTGTCCGGGCTGTTTCTCATCGGCCTGTTCCACAAAAGTATCAACAGCAAAACCTTTGCCTAGCTATAGAAGACCATTCAAAAGTGACGGACATCCACCTGCATCGCAGGAACGGCCCCATGGTGGTCTCTCAACCCCCCAAACAAGACTTGAAGCGTCTCAGGATGGTCATGCAGAATGGTTTGCCTGCTTGCATCTTTGGTACGCTGAGTGCCTTTGCCATGGCCCTGGTCTGGCAACTGGAGTGGTCTGGTCTGCCGGGCTACCAGATCGCTGCGAACGCCGACGCTGAACATGTAGTGGTCTCGTTCTGGTCCTTGTCGCTTGGGCGAACGACGGGTCGACGCAGCCGACCGACCGGTTCGTCCGTTCGACCTCGGGTAGTCCCTCGACTTGTTCATCGAAACACTACGACGAAACAGGAGGTCAGTTTGACCTGGTTTTACCGGGTCAGACTGGACTTGTAGGCACATCTTCCCCTTTGAGATCTTGAAGATTTGACTTCTTCCACCTCCCCCATTTTCAGGCATAGACCTCCCTCCAAAACGGGCACACGTTCCTGATGTGCTTCGTTGGCACTTGACCACTCGCCCAATCACAGTTGTGGTGGCGCCTGTGCTTTTCGCACCTTCGACTGTCAGCTGCCGTGGCGGTGAGGGTGCCAGTGTTCTTGCTTTCTGTGGGTGGCTCAGGTTCGCGGGACTTCTGAGCACCATGGTGATCCTGGTGCTTTGGAGGCCTCCGGGCAACGTGTTCTTGGATCGTGTCTGCATCAATCAGTTCAACCAGGATCTGAAGGCACCTTCGCCCAAAAGCGATCCCGGGCCGAGGTGTGGAAGGGTGATTCGGGGGGTGCATCGGAACCACGGAGTCGCCACGTGCCTCCGGGACCAGGTCGGTCCGTCGTCCAGCGATGGGGGCGAGTTCAGGGGTCGGCCAAGGCGGCGGCGTGTGGGTGCAGGTTTGATGAAGGGAAGCAGGTTTGATGAGGTTCTGGCATAGATTGTGAATGCTACCGGTAGAGGAACTCATTCTGCCGACTTCCTATGAGCACGCCAATACTCGTGACTTTTTGACATAGAACCATCCAACTTCCACAGGTTCTTCGGAACGCAGTTCTTCGCCAATAAGGCGTTTGCCATCTTTTCATGGCACCAGCACGTCCAAGTCTCCGAAAGGGACGCCCCCACCGGACACCCGCTGCCACACCCGCTGGGCTGACGCGCTCCATGCCGACAGATTTTCGCCACACGGAAGTACAGCCAGAATCGTCTTCCACTCCACCCGGAAGGGTCCCTAAAGGGTGAAGCCATGCTCTTTCCATCCCTTAGCGACCCTTCCGACCCTTCCGTCCCTTCGGGTCCCTGGCTGCGAGGTCATGGGGATCATTAGCTTGGGCGCGATCCTCAAACGCTCGGACTCCATCTTGGCCGCTCGGGGGTCGAGTCACGGGAGCCGCCGTTTCATTCGATCGCCGATCGCCGCGGCGCGGTCCCTTCGATCGGGGACCGGAGCATGACACAACGCAGCACCCCAAAGGGCCAAAGGTTTATTTATAGAGCTTTCCTGATGATGTATGATTCTATTCAACTTATTTTTGGTGGTGCTGGTAGAAGACATTCGAAGAGTCTTGTAGACAAGCTTTGGCCAATGGCCAATGGCTTTGGCCGACCGTGTCGGGGCTCGGGTTTTCTTTCTCACCAAAACTGGACTATACCCTAGAAGTCCAATTCGACTACACCCTGGAAGACTAACATGGAACCTGAAAACCACTGGGTTGTAGAGGAAGATAGTCTTCCATGGGGCCAGGACGTCAGGGTCTATGTTAGTTTTCGGGAGTGTATATTTTGATCGACCGAAGTTTTCAGGACCTTCCTGAACTTCGGGTCACCGTTCGTCAGACCATTCTGATCGTCGACCTTGACTCCCAGGGTATCTGTTTCTTCGAAAGCTTGATGCACGAGCCGGTCTCCGTCCACTGACGGAGACCGACCAGCGTGCACGAAAACAAAAGGAACAAAGACCGGCGCACTGGTTGAGTTCCTCCCCCCCCGCAGTCAGGGCAACAAGGAACAAAGACCAATCCGATGACGATCGGCGCCCGCTGGACACATGGCCACTTTCCTGTCCAGTCGACGATTTCAAGAAATGGTCTGACTAGATGACCCAGTGACTCGTATTTGTCCTGAAATCTTGGATGGTGCCAACAAGTCGAACTGGACTTCTAGGGTATCATCACTGCAGGACACTTAGCGGGATCCTCCTTGCGCAGGCACATGCAAGGCTTCCAACTGTCAAAAACTCTCATGACTTTGCAACTGAAGTGCAACAACAGCTGCAAGTTGCACCACCTAAGTGGCTTCTTCGTCGGTTTGGCTCTGTCGAACAAGTTCCGAAGAAACCCATGACTCCAGGGTCAGACGCGCACACTTGGGACAATGCGCACGGAAATTGACTGCCACATGCCACACGGCGACCTAGGTAACCATATTCCTGAGAAAGTGAGCAGGTACGTCGGTGAGCGTCCTCACCGATATCAGTGTTCAATGCAAGCCTCTTCGTTGGGCTGGTATTTGCATGAACAACCAGCCCCCCTGCTGATGAAGAAGACCAAATCAACGGATTCCCTGTGACTCCAAGGGTTTCACACAGACGCCTCCCACAAGGGGAGGCGCAGAAAAGCTAAGGGGCCGACTAATGTGCATGTGCTCGTGCAAAACAGACAAGCGGATGAAGACATGAAAAGAGGACAAGACAGACCAGGTGTATGTGATTGCAATGAGAAGATGCAACATGACACTTACGCAAGTGACATGGCACCTTACGCAACATGGCACTCCATCACTTGGTGTCAATACGCTAAGTGGCCAGGGACAGCCGATGAACCAAACCTCCCGGTAACAACCTGGGCGACCTCAAATGTGGGTTTCAAGTACAGGTGTGCGCGTACAATAAGGGCTGGACCGATGTATGCGCAAGAGAGAAAAGGGATGAGGTGCCAAGACATGAGCTCACCCGGGCTCCCAGGAAGGGGAAACACACTCGGGAAAATGCATACGGAAATTGCACACGGCGACCTAGGTAACCATATTCCTAAGAAAGTGAGCAGGTACGTCGGTGAGCGTCCACCGTTATCAGTGTTCAATGCAAGCCTCTTCGTTGGGCTGGTATTTGCATGA